TGGGTAAAAAACCCACTTCTTCAGATAGAAGTGGAGTTTTTTCCCCTGAAAGCTTATGTCCAAATAAATCTGTTAGTCTTTATGGTGCCACCAGACTCCTTACCTTCATGTTATCCTAATGGTTAACATTCTTCAGTCTAATTTTTGTGCCTTATGTTTAATTAAATGTTAGAAAAGCAAAAAGGACTTGAGGTATTTATTCCTTTTTTTTTAATTCTATTTTGAGAAAATATCAAAGTTGAATTAAAAGGCACCATAACATGGTCACCGTAGCACTTACCATACTCATCTGCTCCACCATACTCATCTGCTCTGCTCTTATTGTAAGCAAAAAAGGGTATTCAGTTGCACACAGGATTCTTTTATATTTCAGTTTAGTACCCCTTCCTCTTTACAAGAGCAGAGCAGTGTGAGGGGACATTCAGCATGTTTACTTTCTGGTGTTCAGAGGTTTGAGGCTTTGGGGAAAAAAATTGATTAAAGTGACTTAATGAAATAAAACTATTACCTCCTCTCCCACCCACTTTTTTTTCTTCTTCACACTTAGTGAGGTGTAAGTATGGTATAACCTTCTACACCTGCACTAATTTGAGCGACCAATTTTTTAAAAAGAATGATTTTGGTATGTCACCTGACTTAATGTGAAAGCTTTAATAGCTGATTTCCTTTTAAATAAATTTTAAGATCTTGGTCTAGATATAATTTAGTCCTGCCATGAGTGCAGAGGACTGGACTAGGTGACCTCTCGAAGTCCTTCCAGTTCTATCATTATAGACACTATGGATCTAGTTTGCAGCAATGCTTAATTATGGCTTTTACTCCCAGATGGCATTATATAATATAGTTGATCTGTTTTAAACAATTGAATGCAAAAATACTTTTTTTTCTGTTTAAAGTTCACTACTATTTGGCATTCATTATAATATTTTCTACAATATCACTTAATGACTTCTAATTTAACCACCACAGTTCATGTAATTGTTTTTAACTAACTGAAATACACAGGTATATTTACACATGCTATTTCTAGAGATAACTACTATATAAGGATGTAGATAGTTGTTGTCCCAGATCCCCCATCTGCAGAGTTGTAGATCAAAAAAGGCTTAGCCGCTCTTATTATTAACATTTGTTTATAACAACAGCAGCATTCTTTTGGAACCTTTCAGGGACATAACCAAAAATAACAATAATGCCCTAAGGATTTTACAATCCAGGTTAGATTCAGTGATGGGATGTAGGGAGATGACATCACTCTGAGGAGGAGAGGGAGACGTACACAAAACAAGGTGACAAAGTTGCTTGCAGGTAATATGATATTTAATCTATTTAGCTTAGTTGCTTGAACAGGCAGGCAAAAAAAAATCCTTGGAAAAGCCATGTGTTCATTCTGTCAGCTCCCTGAAACCAATTCTCTTTGAGGTCCCTAGCACCTGTCCCATGAACTCATAATTTAGGACCAAACTGTGGTCAGCAGATCCCTTTCTAGTGATTTGTAGAATAAAATATCTAAGCAACAAGTGTCTGGCAGTGGACTAGGAAGTTGAAAGAGGACATTGTAAAAGAAAGACCATCATGTAGACTGAGCGGTCTGCAGAAGACAATGTGGAGAACTACTCTCATATAGAATATCTCCTTCTCACAGTGATATTCCCTATTCAATGAGACTGTAATCCCTAGAATATGACCTGCGGGTGGGGTGAGGTGGGGTGTCCACTAGTGCTTCTCCCAGTGATGGTGTGCAGTTAGTTCCTCAGTGTTGGTTTTCTATTACCCCTTAACCAAATTCTGTTGCAAGGCCCATAGATGGCTGTAGCATTCTGGTGCAGCACTTGTGGGATGGTAAAACAATAGCATGTGTAATTCTGTTAAACTCCCCTTCTTTCTGCACCTCAGTTTAACTCTTCGCTGAAGCACAGGCTAAAGTTCTCTCTGGTTGTGACTTTTCAGAAAGCATTGCACAGTGTCAAACCCTACGGCTGTTGTATGTGAAACCGTGATAACAGGTGTTAATAGTTCCCAGTCCATTTCAAAGAGAGACTGCCATACACTGTCTTACTAAAACATTTAATGCACACAGTAAACAGTATAAAATATGGTAAATGGTATTTGGAAAACTATGAATAACCTTTAAAGAAAAGCTATTAGTAAATCTATTGGTGTTTCTTTTACAGAGTTCCCCACTTTGTTTCTGTTACATACATTAAAATACAAAGTTTCAAGATAACATCCTTCATACTTTAGTGCACACACACACAAACACATTCCCCTCTAATTTTCTCTGAGATGTTTTCTTAGTCTCTGTAGTGTGGCCATAATATGTTCTATGTGTCACCTGGATTCCCCAGAGCTTGAGAAGAGTGGGAACATCTGTCTTTCAACACTTCAGAACCCGTCAGCAAACAGTCTGGGGATCTCCATAGCTAGTCGTATTCCAGCCCTTGGGTTAACAGCTGACTGCTCCTCAGTTGCCGAGGAAACAGAAATCTGCAGCCTGTGTTCAAAATGGCACAGATATTGGGATCAGCATATAAAACATCCATTCCCTCGATCTCTGTGAGGCTCTCACTCTATAGGGCACCATCTTCTCCCAGTAAGCTCAGCTAAGTCAGGCAAGAATTTACAAACCCTCCCCAAAACTCAGCTCTGCCCCATTCTCTCTCTTTAACTGAGGCAAAATCCCAGTTGAAAGCAGGTAGCTGATAGCTGGATATAAGTTCCACTAGCTCTGTAGTTTCTAGGGTAAAATATGCTCCCCTCAGCTCTCCCTCTAGGTCTATAACACAGACCACAGTGGAGGAAGCATCCCAATGGAGGGCTTCTCTAGTAAGTAAAGCTGGAATAGCATTGCTCTGCATCCAAAATTCTACAGGACTGGGATGCAGCCCTCACAGCACATTTCTTGGTCCTATGATGATCAGCTGCTGAGTCCACAGGGCTCTCTTTTTAACTCATATATTCATAACCTTTCCCCACCGCCCCACCTGATGCTCTGATATGCTCAGCTTTGGAGGGTGACCCACCAGGCGGATTGACCACAATGAAAAGTTCCTGTACAGGTTCAGAAACAGCTACTGAGCATGTCTAGTAACTACCACACCCTAGTTCTGAATGCTCTGTGCCCTGACTGAGTTGCCCTCTATGTCCACCTCCCCACCCTCCAAACTGTTTCTCTCCCTTTGATGAGTCAAACAAGTTCAAATGCTGCAGTATATAAAGCATGTAAGTTACACAGGCAGAAGATCGGTGGTAGCTTCAGATACGTTTAAAAATCAATTTTACTGAATTAAATATAAAAATAAATCATACGCTGGCTACGGTATTCCTCGTGTTTAATTTGCTATTTTTAAAAAAAATCACTTTTCTGCAGAATTTTTTTATTCAGAATGAATAACTGTCTTGTAAAGGTCTTCCGGAGGGAAGCTAGAGGTTTTGTCAGCTGAGAAAGTTTGGGACAGCAGATGGGACCATGGGATAAGAACATTAGTTGTATGTTTCAGTGATCAAAAGTGAAATAATTAACACTGTTGGCATTTTAAATTGTCATTATTAGGTTTCAGGTTGATACACCATTGAGATAAAGGGAGCAATTTATGCTTCCGGAAATGTTTCAGGCCATCTGCAGTCATCTCTGTCCAATTTGTTTTTATGCTTGGTTCATATTACAGAAGGATTAGATATGCAAATATTGGTTAAAATATTTTAAAGGAAGGTTTATATTCTGGAGCACAATTTATCAGCATATTTCATGGCAGCAAAATCACAAAGCACATAGGGCTCTGCCCATAGCAACATCTGCTCTTGCAGAAAATGACAAAACGACCAATCTTTTCATCTCTGGACCTTGATATAGTGATCTGGCCCACTTAAGTAAAAACAACCGTGATAGACCAAAATGTGTTGGAAAATTTTCAGTAAGAGAACTTTTTCCTGACTTTTGGAAGAAGGCAGTTACTTCTAGGGTGTTTATTCTAGATCTGTGTTCCAAATCTTCATCCAAGCTGCTGTGTTGGGGTTGGGAACCAGAACCGTCAAGGTCTATGCCTCTTTATAGTTGGGTGGGGCTGTTGGTCTTGCTATATGCAACCCTGTGTTTCCAAGACTGTGGACCACCAGTGATCTGTGGAGCAGTTGAAGGTCCACAGAGAGCTGACTGGTGACATGGTGCTGGCTCTCCTCCTTGCTTTCAGTTTTTCCATCACATTAAGAAAAGCTAAACATATATTAAATACTCTCCTAGTCTTTTCCATTTAAGCAATTGTTGTAGTTGACACAGGGATTTTATGATTGCAGAGAGGACCGGAGTGATTTATGCAATCATGAATGGGAGAGGAGCTGTCCGCAAGTCAATATCTCTATTGAGATGTGGACCACATTTGAAAAAATCTTGAGAAACCCCTGCTCTTCCTGGTCAAGCTGCTCTGTAATGAACGCCACTTAACTTGCCTTTGCTCCCTGTACTGTGTCGTACACATGTGCATGCAGTTATGCTTTTGTCTGCAGGCTTTCTGTGTAAGCAGCCGTTCTGCCTTGCATTGTGGGGACAAGCATACTGCAACTCTGCTAACTGCAAGGGCTGTGCCACTTTCATTTGTGTCTTCAGCATGTGATTTTTGCAGAGCATCAGCAGTGCCTTCTGTAGTCTTTGTGGGCCATGACAAAGAGCTCCATCTTGAGTGATAGGGAGTATTTTATTAAACGATCTGAATCCTGACACTACTGTGCACCAGTATAGTTTATGATTGCAGATAACACTTTTTTGTTAGCCGGCTTTGTGCTAGAAATGAAATGCTGGGGTTAGTTTTAATATTTCTTGAGTGATCCATAAAACCTTTATTTTTTTCCTGGGTTCAGGTTCTAGGTTCTAAAATTAAGTTCTTAAATTGCTGTGAATACAGTACTCAGGCCTTGAAGTTCTTTTCTTAGATTAGAACTGTGGTGTGCTTTGTTCCAATTCTCCTGGAGATATTTATCCTATGTTCGCTTATTGTTTTTGACAGGTCATCTGAACAAGAATCACCAAAGTGAGTTTTCTTATAAGCATACAAAAATTCTACTGTTGAAAGTGGGGATTTCAGATATGAACTAAAATTATGACCGAATGAAATCTTTGAAGCCTTTCTATTTAAATGGTTAGAAAAATGTCATTTTATAGAGATCTTTAAAAAAATCCCCACACTAATCTTTAGAAATATGTTGAATTCTGACATGCCAGTAAGCATCTAAACATTGTAATTTGCAAAGAGTCACTTCTTTAAATTGCTCTGTAGAATATACAGTAAAAGTTTAATTATGCTAAAATCTGGTGGTGATTTATCTAGTAATTCTTTATATAGTACAACAAAACCTTAAATTAAGCAGTTTGGAAGTCACATCTATCCCTAGCAGAGTGTTAACTTTTCCTGCACTGGGGAATCATTATGGACTGTAATCTGATGTTACAAGTGAAATGTGAAAATTTGCTATATTCCTCAAAGATTTAGTGTGATCCACTTACACATATAACTTTGGTATCTTCATAATACTGATTTATATTCGAGTCATAAATATCTTGAGGTATACAATATTAATGACAGTAATTACTAGAGAAATCAAAATCTTGAAGGTGCTGTTCCTATTTTACATGATGTGTGTGTTTATATAGTTCACTACTTTAAAACATTTTCAGGGTTTAGCAAAGTGTTCTCATGAACAATAAGGACTACTGAAGACTGAAAAAGCTGAAAATTTAAGTTTCTTTCTTGAACTGAATATTCTGTGACTGTTGTAAAAACACTCCATTCACCTTGCTGATGCAAGGTAGTAAAATTAAATGTCCCAAAACTTGGTTAACCACAGAGTTAAGGTTGCACAGTGTTGGCTTGTAACGTTTGAAAACATTGAGTTCAGCTTCACTCAGGCCTCTGAAAACTGGCAAATGAAGAAAAGAATGAAAGTAATGCAAACGTAAAAACCAGGAAATATGAATTTATCATACCTCCACTCTTCAACGCAACCTTAATTCTGTTCTCTTCAAGCAATGCCCCAAGACACAATAATACAGAAGCTACACAGTGCTCTGGGAATATATCACCTGGTCATTATAGGACAAAGTCTAAAACCTTCTCTTGCTAAGGCAAAACTCAGTCTAGGTCAGATGTAGCAAACAGGAGCTACTTGCACCTGGCCTATACTCAAACACTGAGCGTACTCCACACAAACCATCCCAGACTTTTTTAATATTACCACCCCTGACTCAGAGCATTCCTTCTGAGACATTACCTTCACTTACCCCTCACTAAGCGCCAGAGACCACTGTTTTCAGGGCCGGCTCCAGCATTTCTGCCGCCCCAAGCAAAAAAAAAAAAGCCGCGATCGCAATCGCGACCGGCGGCGGCAATTGGGGAAAAAAAAAAGCCACGATCGGCTGCGGCAGGCCCTTCGCTCCTAGAGGGAGTGAGGAACCTGTCGCCCCCGAATTGCCGCACATGTGGCCCCTCTCCCTTGGCCGCCCCAAGCACCTGCTTGTTAAGCTGGTGCCTGGAGCTGGCCCTGACTGTTTTGTATGTCATCAGACTGCTGACAAGAAAATCCCCATGTGCATCTCTACTGATACGACCTCCAGAACACAGTGCTGAAATGAAGAATACCTAATCCTTCAAAGTAAACATGCACTCCTCCTTGTATTAGTGTAAAAGTTCTGCCAATCTGCTCCAACTAATCCTCCGCTGTTCAGTACAAGAAGTAAGGTAGTTGGAGTGCATGCAGATAAATGCTGGAATTCTAATTTTTGCACCACCACAAATAATGGCACATTCTCTTAGAACTTCCTCATGTCTACTTATTATTGCACTCTACCTCATCCCGAACCATTTCCAATGGCTGTTTCCAGCTCCAGGGAACAGAGTTCAGTTTGCATTGTGGGGATGATGTGTACTTTTAACTTAATTTTCTATGTCTTGGTTTTCGGAGGGTTGTTTTTGTTGTTGTAACTGCTCTTGTCCTGGTTTTCAGAAGTTTGGGTATAGCTGAATTCAATATTCTTGTATGGCAGAAGGCACTGCTGGGCAACCATAACTGCATTAATGAAATTTTGGTGAAGTTCATTTCCTTGTCATTTTTAAGAATAGTTTCTCAGTATCCCCATGTTCCACAGCCCAGCTCTTTTCTTTTTTTCTTTAACTGCCTCTGGCTCCTTGGCAACGATTGCCGTGGCCACAGGATGCACTGACTGGATGTTAATCACTTCACTGCCTCTGCATCATCTCCGTGTCTTCTTTCTCTCTGCCTGTATCACAGCCTGATTCTCCTCCAGTTTACTTCCACAGGGAGAAGTGGGTGTTGGAATGGGACCCACAGGCTATGGAGCTGGAGAAAGAAGGCAAGAACTATGCAAGGACTAGAATGGAGTCAGTGGGGAATATTTTTTAAAGATAAACAGAGCGAGGGGGGGAATAGGATGAGAGAGGGTTTTGGGAGACAGAGTTCAAAGCCCCCAACATTCCTACTGCACAGCTTTCCTTTGCACCCCACTCTTTCCTGCACTGCTCCAACAACCCTTTAATTGCTCCTAAATTCTTCCACACTGCTCAGAATTCCCCACCACTGGTCCGACACTGCTCCATGACTTCCAATGGTCACATCCTCGCGCCCACTGCTCTGACTACCCCCCCCCCGCCCACAAACCCCCACTACTCTGACCCCCTGCTCCTCCCTTACATGCACATACTGGTTCCGCCCTCATCTTTGCCAAGTCCACTACCCCAGAGCTGGGCCTAGTGTATGGGGAAGGAGCTCTACAAATCCATCTGCAACATAGGAAGCTCAGAGAGGTGTGAAGTGGCTCATTAATATCAATCAGGTGTTCTGTGCTGAATGAAAACATTCCCACTACTATCTCAGTGCTGTGTACTGTGCCATTTTCTGAACACCCAGCTCCCCACTCTTCCTCAGTTTTAAAGGGGAAAAGAAATAGGAGCTATGGATGTGGGAAAGCTTGGGGGGGGGGGAGGCAGAGATGAAACTTCTATAAACTTTAGCCCTTAATAACTTTTTCAGTATTTTCAATATTGCTTCCCCAGAAGCTGGGATAAATGCCAAGTGGCTGAGATCAGTTTCAGGATGATTAGAGACGTAGTTTGAGCCCCAGATGTATGCAAAAAAGTTTAAAAATCAGATGATTTTGTCAACAGATGTTGGATTTTTCTGTGGGGTAGCTTATATCTCATGAATGCCTTGTTCAAATGATCCCAAATTTTGACCAAATCACCTTATCCCCCACCCCTATGAGGCACAGCAAATTTGAAGATAATCCAAATAATGGATTTTAGAGCATTTAGAATAATCTACTGTTAAATAGAAAGTGACGCTCAATTTTAACTGGCGCTCTGGTATAAGAAGTTGATATTATATGTTTGTAATTTCTACTGTATGTTGAGTTTAAACCCATGAATATCAGTACCTTTTTAATGTACTTTATCTTTTTCTTTTAATGAAGGAATGTATTGGAAAATAGTCCAACACAGAACTGTCTGACTCATACCTCACCGATTGCCTTGTCCCAGTCTCCCAATGGAGTTGGTAACTTTTCAGGCTCTTATCCATTGGATGGGGTGGACAAACAGTTTTTAGAAACATATGACAATGTCACAAAAGGGAGCTTAACAGAAGATTCCAGTCTGTACTACTGTGATAAGGTAAGTTGTTTAACAAGGCTGAATTAAATGCAAACAGAGAAGGACTAGTATAAATGTGCATCCAGTCTGTGAGATAAAGTATTCGTAGGGTTTTCCAGCAATGTTAACTTGTCTGTTGCACAATATACATGTTTAATGGCATGCACTAATAAGAGTAAGTCTGGTTTATTAAGGTCTACATTTACCAAAGAGGAAAACACTATGCAATGTGGCAAGCAAGTCTGCCAGCTCTGTGGATTTTCCATAGGCTCCAAATTTTCAGACCCACCTGCAGAGAAAACCCCTAATTTAAGGGGAAAGCCCCATGTAGTTGTCTGCCCTTTGCCCTAATTCCCCATCTCCGGAGGAAGAAAAGCCAGTCAGAGCTGTTATACATGCCGATAGACAGCAGTGTCCCTCAGCATAGACAGCAGGCAACAGCTGCCCACCACTCTCTGGCTCCCCTTGCCGCCCAATCTCTCTAACCCCTTTTCCCCATCCCCTCCAGAGAGGGCTGCTGCCCAGGGCCCCTGATTTCCCTCACTACTACCAACTCCAGTGCTGTGCTGACTATTCCCAAGCACCACACCTAGCCCCAAAGCCCCCTTATTGCTTCCCCTCCCCAGCCTCACAAGTCTTCCAGGGGCCTACCAACCTTCCCCTCCCCTCCCTTCCTGTTTTCCTACCCCCTCCCCTCTCCCTCCTATACAGGCGACTGCCAAACTAAACCACTTGTGAAAAGTGGGGTGGGAGAGAGGTGTATGGTAAAGTAAAAATGCCTAGGGTGTGGCAGGGAATGCAAGGGTGGATGGTGGAATAGCTAAAATTAAACCCCTTGGTGGGGAATGTGAAATGCTATTGGGGGAAGATTAAATTCAAATGCTTCAGGGCAAAGAAGTTGCAATGAAATGTTGTGGATGGTTCATAAAATGATATTTCTTGGGGTGAAGGAATGAAATGTTGATGTGGGCAAGCGAGGAGGAGGAAAACAATCAAATGCTGGGATTTCCCATTCCCTTTCAATGACACTTAATTTTCTGATGGAAAATTGGTCAGTAAGATTTTTCAACCAGCTCTATGTGCAGCCATTATTTTTTAAGTTTTGCACCTTAGATTATAGTTTTGAAAAATCTAAGTATGCTCAGCATGCAGTTTTCAAAGGCCAGTAACTCAGTCTAATCGCAGTTAATTCTGCTGTGGATCCATAAAGTGAATTACCCCTCAATGAAGATTATTTCAATGCCAAATTTTACACCTCAAAATTCAGACACTCTGGCTTGTGGGACTTTTCAAAAAGATTCCAAATACATTTCTTTATGGAAAAGTTTATTTTTTATAGTTCTTGAAATCAATAATGTCTAGCCTACTTTTGTCTGAAACTTAACAAAAAGTCCTCTTTGGCCAGGGATCAGGCATTGAGGAGGTGACAATTTCTGAAAATTATGGGCAACAGGCTTATGATCGAAACCATTATGCAGCATTAATTGTGGTAGTCTCTGCCATTTCCAATATAATAAACAGGAAAATACAAACAATTTTTATGTACAGTACAATCCTAGCTCCTCTTCATTTTTACCACATTTACTTTTTTCTTTTTCTAATATGAATTAATCTGTATAGGAAATATTGTGTTCTTTTTTGCCATCATTTTGTGTTAAGAAATAGAAAATCTTAGAAGATTTTTTTTTAATGTGTTGCAGAATGAAGTAATTGATGGAGATTTGCTTTTGGTGCGAATCACTCCAGATGAAGATGGGAAATTTGGATTTAATCTGAAGGTAAAAAGGGAGCCTTAAAATCTCATGAAGGTGCAACATAGTTAAGTAACTAGTGTCTTAACTGATCAAATCAATATTGTTTCCATTTTTAATGTCCATGTTTGCATCAGAGGTAAGAGATTAAGGGATATGATGATCCTTTGCTGTCCTACAAGGATTTTTTTTTGAAGAGTTAAAAACTCTAGCAAAGATTTTTTAGAAACAGATGCTTAAGATTAAGTTCCTAAATTGTTTATATAGGCACCCAAATAATGGCCTCATTGGCTAAAGCAAGCATCCAACTGCTTCTGTTGTCTTTAGTAGAAGTTGCTGTATGTCCAACACATTTGAAAAGCAGATCATTTATTCAGGTGCCTACAAGTGGACTATGGAGCCTAACTTCAGGCACTTATTTTTGGAGAAGTAGGCCCTTCATGTTTTACCATCAACAAAACATCTTAATGGTGTGTGTGCACCCAGTGGTGAGCTAATTATTGCAAAGGTAAAAACTAGTAAATGAAGGAATTGGGGAAAGAGGTGCGGCGGCAGCTTCTGTACTTTCTGATTAATGTCCATTTTAAGGCCCTGTTACACTGCCTGAATGCTATGAAGTGGCTATAGTGAAAATGAGAATCCAGCTCCAGTTCTAGCATTTGATCCCTGTCACTTATTCATGGGCATTGTTAGGTCATCTGTTTCATTCATGAGTCCTGGGGAAGATGTGTTTTATGTCCATAAGACTTCAGTGGCATATAAAATATAAAAGGGATAAAGAAATGTGGCTGGTTTGAGACTCATAGTTTGATCCTGCAAGATGCTGAGTTCTCTGGTCCCAGTTCAGCATAGCACCTAAGCATGAGTACTGAGCACCTTGCAACGTCAAGCCCATGACAGTGAAGTACAAAGCATAAATTTTATATTCACATAGGAACAAAAAATAGACTATTTGTTGTATAATGTACTGCTTACATTCTAAGAGTATATTTATAGTCACTGTTTACTTAACATCTTGCAGGGTGGTGTTGATCAAAAAATGCCTCTGGTGGTGTCAAGAATAACTCCAGGATCATCTGTAAGTAAATCCTCATGTAATTCTTCAGTGTATGGCTCTGTAGCAAAGCTAATTTTTTTCCAGTATCTGAATATGTTGTAACACATAGCTGAAATGTCTTTTTTATGACTACCCGGTAGTACAATAGATGCATCATCTAAATCAAATTTGGAAGGACAAATGCATTTTATTTTAAGGTTTTATTTTGGGCACATACTTCAAAGTGTATTTTCCAAACTTTTATAACAAATTGAGATAATACCAATTTTAATTTGATATGAATCTGTGTGGTTTCTGCTGCAGTCTGCATATTGCAGAAGTTTCAAAAAGAAAAGTTTCATTGTAATTGAACCACAGTATAATGCAAGAATTCTCTAACTTTTTCTTAGCCCAGACTACATAATAGAGAAATTGACTTGTGCCCCACATCCTGCCCCAATCATGAATGTGTGGCCCACATTACCTATCTTTGTCATCATGTAACATCCATGTGGCAGCTATAGCTTGCTTTTATTCAGCTTTCAGGAATAAATACAGTTATGCAATTTAATGAATTTGTAGTTGTCTCAGAGAAATATATGAACGGGAAACAGAGGAGCCAGCCCCACATGACAATTTAGTGCTCTCCTGACAGACCACCAAGCAAGTGAACAAGGGGCAGGAAGCACAGTTTGGGAACCTTTTAACCAGAACATTGAATTTGTTTTATGGGAAAGAGATAACTTTACATGTCAACTAAAAGCAACAAGTTACATTTTCTGATATACAGTAGAACCTCAGTAGAAGTAGAAGTATTTCTACAGTAGAAATACAGTAGAACCTAAGAGTTATGAACACCTTGAGAATGGAGGTTGTTCGTAACCCTGAAATGTTCATAACTCTGAACAAAACATTATGGTTCTTTCAAAAGTTTACAACTTTTCACTTAATACAGCTTTGAAACTTTACTATGCAGAAGAAAAAACCTGCTTTTAGCCATCTTAAATTAAATGAAACAAGCACAAGAACAATTTCCTTACCTTATTAAATCTTTTTTAAACTTTATCTTTATTATTTAGTTGTTTACATTTAACACACCATTGTACTGTATTTCCTTTTTTTTTCATCTCTGCTGCTGCCTGATTGCATACTTTCAGTTCCAAATGAGGTGTGTGGTTGACTGGTCAGTTTGTAACTCTGGTGTTCATAACTTTGAGGTTCTACTGTACTGCAAGATTACTGTTGGTCTTACTATTTTCCACAAAAAGTACAGTGTATCAGTTCCTGGTTGTTTAATAAGAAGATGTAGCTGACACATGAATGTTCACTTTTAATGTGGTATGCAGAGCATCTGTAGACTATTCTGGCTACAAAACTAGAAATTCTTAATGTTATAATCTTTTCATCCATTTTGCTACTTCATTAATTTGCTCCAGAACGACTCATTATTGGTACATTTCACCTCCGGGGAACTACATGGTATATTTCCACATTATCTTTCCAGATTGTGCAAGTCACTTTTTCTTCTCTTCCCAAAAGAGATTCTGGAATTATTTGAACAAACATATGCAACCAAATAAATCAGGTGTTTTCCCTTCTAGATCCTAAAGTAATTGAAAATATAATTTAAAGCAATCTACCTCTAGTTAAAGAATAATACTCATCTGGGAATACCTGTGGGTAGATTAACTTTTGTGGCTTTAGTGAAGAGAGATCCATCTAACTACTTTGGGTGGAAGACAATGCAAGAATGAAGAAATGGAACTATAGTTAAATGTAGGTGACATTTAAAAGTACTACATGTTAAAAAGTCAATAGTTTAATGTCCTAACAGGATAATGAGGAAGACATTAACATTATAATTGATTGAAAACAATATGGGGAATTTTTAGGACCAAAGAAGAAGTGCTTGGTATTATACCAAACTTTGGTGGCTTAAACTGGATGAAAAGGCATTAGCACCATTGTCTTGAAAAGTTTGATCTCTGAAAAAGATTTATATTGTACCTGCATTGAAAGGATTAATTCCACTCCTAGATGCCTTTTTCTCTGTGTGCATTGTGGATTCCTTGGTAAGTGGCTGGCTAACAGCTAGCATTCTTGGTGACTGGTAGAGAAGAATGTCAACTTCCAGGGAAACTGTTAATCACTGTAAAATGTTGATGCCTCACGATCCACTCTCTGCTTTCTTGTTTGAGTCACTTGATTAAATCTGGGTCTACACTAAAAAGTTCGGTTGACCCAGCTACATCACTCAGGGTTGTGGAAAAATCTAACCCCCTGAGCAACATCATTAAGCCAACCTAACCCCCAGGGTAGACAGTGCTAGGTTGATGGAAGAATTCTTCTGTTCACCTAGCTGCCACCTCTCACGGGTGTGGATTAACTTCGGTGGTGGGAGAACCCCTCGAATCGTTGTAGTGAGTATCTACACTGAAGCACTATAGTAGCGCAGCTACAGCACTGCAGACATGCCACTGCAGTGTCTTGTGAAAATGTAGCCTTGCTGTGGAGTAGAATCTCAGAGATAGTAACACCAGAGTTGCAGACTTACTGGCCAGCCAGACACCTGTGGAACCGGAAGTCATCAATCAGGCAGCAGCACAGACAACAAAAAAAAAAATGGGCAGGGGGGAGGGATTGTTCAGTGGTTTGAGCATTGGCCTGCTATACCCAGGGTTGTTAGTTCAATCCTTGAGGGGGCCATTTAGGGATCTGGGGCAAAAATCTGTCTGGGGATCGGTCCTATTTTGAGCAGGGGGTTGGACTAGATGATCTCCTGAGGTTCCTTCCAACCCTGATATTCTATGATTCTAAGGCAAATACTGTACTGCCTTAGGGCTTTAGCCCTGGGGCTCAGAGCTTCTGCCACTGGGGCTGGGGCTGGGGCTGCAGCCGCATGGTGAGGGGGGAATTCAGGGCTCTGGGTGGAGGGGAGGCTCAGGGCTTCTGACCCTCGGGAGCACTGGGGCTCAGGGCTTTAGACTGGGGGGAGTGCTGGAGCTCAGGACTTAAGCACCGTGGGGGGCATGGAGGCTCAGGGCTTCACCCACCAGGGGTTGGAGCTACAGTCATGGGGGGGGTCAGGCCTCCGGGTGAGGGTGGGGAGCTCGGGGCTCAGGGCTTTAGACCGGGGAGAGTGCTGGGGCTCGGAGTTTCAGCCCCATGGCTCCGCTCCCAGCTTCAGCCCTGCTAGGGCACTGAGCTTGGAGCTTTCGCTATGAGGGGAGCACCAATTTCAGCCCCACCTCTCCCCCCGTAGCTAACGCCCCAAGCCCTGGTGGCCCCCCTCACTGCAGCTGAGAGTGGAATGCAGCCACGGAACTGAAGCCCTGAGTCCCAGCACTCCCCCCACGTCTAAAGCCTTGAGCCCCAGTGCTTGGGCGGGACAGAAGCCCAGAGCACCCCGCCCGGAGCCCTAGTGCCCCAAGGGTCAGAAACCCAGATCCTTCCCCCCTACCCAGAGCCCTGACCCTGACCCCCCCACCACACACACACATCCTGTGGCTGCAGCCCCAACCCCAACCCCTCCGGCTGAAGTCTTGTTTAGAGTTGCAGAACATTTCAGAGTTACAGACGACCTCCATTCCCCAGGTGTCCATAACTCTGAGGTTCTACTCTATAAAAAAGATTTTGAAACCTTTCCCTCTGCATTCCAGATCAATCCTTGAGATTCCAAAAAGCTACCTGCTGCCGTGACATGTAACTTTTTAAAATATATGACAAATGGTAATATCACAAAATAGTAAGACAAACATCCACAGCAATAGTATTGTACAATCCTGCTTTCTGAAAAAGTACAGAGTAGTAGGGACTTTTCCAGGGAACTACTAAAGCTGAGGAATTCAAATAATGGCCACTAAATGTTCTGGCTGTCCTTTAAGATTTTTTCTTTGCCTTTTTGAATTTTTTTCCCTTCTTCATTCATCATTTTCAGTTCTCTCCATCTTAACTATTTTCCCCCCTTTCTTCTTTTCTTTCCCTCCTTTTTTATGTCTTTCTTAAAACACCCACACACCTCAGCACACTGCCTCTTCCCTTATTCCATGCTGGAACTGCAGCTTTTCCATTTTGCTTATGTTTTCTCTTCCATTTCACTATTTTCTTTCCCCCTTATCTGATTGTGTCTTTCACACTCCCACCTGTTAGTTTGTCGTCTCAGCATACGTGCAAAGTGCCTCAGGTGGTACATGACCATGATTCATCACCAAATTTGGTCCACTTGTTGTTCCCTTGTTTCTCTCCCCAACTACTCAGATTACTCTTTCCTTCCTGCAGATTTCCCCTTTTTATCTTTCTCTCCCTATTGGTTTTGCCAATCTCACCGTTTCTTTACATCATCTCTCATTTCTTCCTGCAAATGCTATTTGCCATTAGCCCACTTCTCTACCTCAGTCCTTCAGCTGTTCCCCATTCATCCTGAAACATGTAAACCAGGGCAAGGAGGAAAGTGCTAATCAGGACGACTTGTTCCAATTCCTGTTTTTTGACAGGACAAATAACATTGGGTGAACAGACATTGATTCGTGAAGCTCTGCAACACCAACAGGTATAGGTGGGGGAGCAATTAAGATTAGGTTGAAAGGATGAGCAGATCTCTAATGCATTTAGGGGCAGGTCTTTACTACAGGGGGGGGTCGATTTAAGATTCGCAAATTCAGCTACGCGAATAGCATAGCTGAATTCGACCTATCGGAGCCGACTTACCCCGCTGTGAGGACGGCGGCAAAATCGACCTCCGCGGCTCCCCGTCGACGGCGCTTACTCCCACCTCCGCTGGTGGAGTAAGAGCGTCGATTCAGGGATCGATTGTCGCGTCCCGACGAGACGCGATAATTCGATCCCCGAGAGATCGATTTCTACCCACCGATTCAGGCGGGTAGTGTAGACCTAGCCTAGGCTTCGTTCTGATGCTGCTGGGTGCCTCCAGAACAGAATATCCGGTTTTTCTAGGGACAAGCAAACATGAGTGATTTTGTTCTGCTCCTAGCAGGCCTCTCCCAGAGGGATTTTTGACTGCAGAGGATCCTTACTCAAACAGCCTTGCTTTGGACTCAGATCTGCTGAGTCCTAAAGAGCACTGATGAAGAACTGAGGAGAAATTCCAAAGCCCGGTGCCAAGTCCAGTACAGGGAGGATTCTAGCAGATCTTCACACAATCAGGGAGCGTTCACAGCATGCATGGCACACCTAATTCCTGCCACCTTCTGTGGCTGCAGGGGCTGGAATAGGATTTGCCCCTAAGGGTGGCACATGTGGGTGTTGGAGATCAAAGGACCTGTCCAAAATTGTTAATGGGGACGCAGGAATAAAGCTGCTAACTCCCCAGTAGCATTTGATCAGTTCTCCCCTGTGGAACAAGAAGAAGCTTGTATGAATCTAACAAAAATGCATAAATCATCAGTTGTGTTTATAGTTCAGTAAAACCAATTATGTGTAATGTAGGAACAGCCCTCATATATGGTATTTAATATTAATCTTCAGTTTCCATGTATGATGATGGAGCAAAATTAATGTTATAAAGCATTTTACTCAATATAAATTGAAACTTACTCCTATTCTTTGCTATTTTAATCACTCTGCTCTCTTTTATGTGTGAGACATTTTTCAAAATCTTTCTAAAAGTCCAGATTGTAAAGCTCAGATGCATAAAACATATCAAGTGCAAACTTTTGTATAGCTGTTAATAGGCTGTGTGAACTGTTACTCTCATCTTCATTCTGAAGCCACTAGAACAATTTTAGATCTGAATCCTCTGACATAGCTTCTGATACAGAGGGCAAGACTTTGTCAGGAGAATAACTTTGTCTTTGCTGCACGATAAATTCAGTCTCCCTGAGATTAGAAATGTTCTACTGAAGGTATTGGATAAACTGAAATTTTTTTCTTTGGTTGTGAAACAGGCTGACACATGTATTCCAAAACTGAATGAAGGTGATCAGATAGTGTTAATCAATGGTCGAGACATCTCAGAGCATACTCATGACCAAGTGGTAATGTTTATAAAAGCCAGCAGAGAATTGCACACAAGAGAGCTTGCACTTCTGGTCAGGCGGAAAGGTAACTGCACTAAGGTTTTTAAATGTAATTGAGACTGTCATGCCTTTAAATTGTGGCTTTTCCCCCTTGCAATTTACTTTAATATATTCATAATCAAGAGTTATACTGTGAATGGGTCTGTATTAAAATAGAGTGGTAACATTTGAGATCTTCTCTCTTCTTGATTACTAACTCAAATGTTTGAGCCATTAGCCTTATACATTCAAGTGAGGAGCACATCAACTCAGAATGCTGTGTTTTTTGCATCATTCAACTGCAGTTTTGGTGAGGTTTTAGTCAAAGTGAAGAGTATAGACCCAAGTGGGTGAATATTCTGAGAATACTAAACAATACTAATTTCAAATAAAAGATATGGCAGTAAGTTTCCGCTTAATTTTAATTTAATTTAAATAAATAGTTTCTTGCACAAAAAACATTTTGATAAACATTTTAAAATACAGTACCATCTTCTAAAACTTCTATTCCAGATGTGGAAATAACACTAAATTCTCCCAAGCACAGACATACAATGAAAAATGTAATATACAACAAATCCAGAAGGCTCATTTTATTATTCTTGAAATAGGCATATTTATAAATTTTGTTCTAAATTTCAATAGGTGAAATTCACGGGCTTCTTCCTGTGGTGGTGGTGACTTGTTTGCCTACCCAAAAATGTACGTGAAAGGGCTGCTGGTGTATCATTAGATTAAACTTTTGAAACTTGGATGCTTATGGTCTTACCCATATTTGGACACCTAAATCATTGGTCTCATTTTTCAAAGGTGTTGAACTCTTACTGATTTGTGCAGAGCTGGGGTTGGTCAGCATGTGTAAAACTATGGCCAAATTTATTTAGATGTCTCAGTTTGGGATTAGTAGCCTAATTTACAGCATCAAGGAGGATTGAAAATGTCCATGCTTGTATTCAAGTAGGTTTTAACATAACTAAAGATTGCTACTGAATGCATGTAAAAAGTCTAAATTTGCCTCTATGTCTTTCAGTTGCCCAACCCTTGGTTGAGACCAAGTCAGAAGATGAAGCAGATTCCCAGAATTTTCTAGAATCCATTCTTCGCACGTGTTCAGAGTACGGTGACACACTAGAGGGGTCTATGGAACAACTGAAGAAAGGGCTGGAAAGTGGGACAGTACTCATTCAATTTGAGGTAGGTAACATTAAATCCACAGTTACCTGGTGGTTCTGACTAAGGAGAGACTTTAAGGCATTTGGACATTTATCGCTCCCATTCAACCCCATCTCAACAGGCTTAATACAGCCCCCTCTCTCTCTCGCTTACTCTTACACTCTCAACCATCTTGGGGAAGAGTGAGTTATCGGTCTTGCATGAAACACCATGTGTTGAGAAAAATCACTGTTTAAGATTTTTAGTTCAACGACCAGAGCCCCCCGCCCCCCCCCAATTCATCTTAATTTTATGAATTCTCTTCATGCCAAAAATAAAGTTTTCTGACAGAAATCAGACCAGTCTGCTCTTGACAGAGTTTCCTGTGTCACACAATGAAAATACAGGATTATTTTTTATGAATGCAGACAACAGTTTCTCTCTTCCTCTTTTCCTATATTTGCTGTGCTTTACATGGAGTAACAGCAAGAGCTCACTCCCTCCTGGCTTTTTTCTCCTACAAGTTTATATATTTCTGTGGTATGTACGTTTCTGTGTTGTAGAGGGAGAATCTTCTTATCTATCAGGAACTGGTGTGGAACATAAAATATCTGAGTTCTCTTTCTGGCTCCCACACATACTGCTTGTGTGACCAGGGGCAAATCACTTAGTCACATTGTGACTCAGTTCCCCATGTGTAAAATGGAGATAATACTTCCATACCTCAAAGAGCTGTTGCGTGGAAAAATTCATGTATTGTATGTGATGTGCTCAGATATATTTGCAATAAGTGTCATAAAACCCCCACAAAATAAATTTCAATATAGTTTATCAAATTAATTTCTTCACTACAGAAATTGCTGATTAAACCAGGGAATTAGGAATAAAGTTAAGAACAGCCATACTGGGTCAGACCAGTGGTCCATCTAACCCAGTACTCTGTCTTCAACAGTGGCTGGTGCCAGAAGCTTCAGAGGGAATGAACAGAACAGGGCAATTATCAAGTGAACCATCCTCTGTTCTCCAGTCCCAGCATCTGGCAGTCTGAGGCTTAGGGACACCCAGAACATGGGGTTGCATCTTGACTAGTAGCCATTAATGGACCTATCTTCCATAAATTTATCTAATTTTTTTTTTATCCGAGTTATATTTTTGGCCTTCACAACATCCCCTGGCAATGAGTTCAACAGGTTGACTGCGAGTTGTGGGAAGAAATACTTCCTTTTGTTTGTTTTAATCCTGCTCCTATTAATTTCATTTGGTGATCTCTGGTTCTTGTGTTTATGTGAAGGGGTAAATAACACTTCATTATTCACTTTCTCCACACCCTTCATGATTTTACAGACCTCTATCATAGCCCCTCTTGGTCTTCTCTTTTCTAAACTGCCCAGTCCCAATCTTTTTAATCTCTCCTCATATGGAAACTGTTCCATACCCCTAATCAGAGAAGGGCAACAAAAATGTTCTTCCGTTGTTTTTCAATGCTTTTCTTGTGGCAAGGTAATTCAGTGAACCAAATCTGGGTCTCTATGTCCCTCTTGCTCTCAGGGCCTCAATTTAATTTAAAAATGAATAAAATAGGGGCTATGATGCTGATTGTATTGTTCATTTTCATATTGAAATCAATAAACACCTCCATTTTTAAAAGTGAGTTAAACTCCTCTTAGACTCTCATCAGCTGCACCAAAGTAACGAAGAAATATGGAGACCTTGCCACAAAATTTAAGGGCAAATTACCTTACGGTTCAAGGGATTTTGTATATAATGTTTGCAGTTGCCCCAAGGTATTTCAAGTTTCTTACCATCCCTTCATCTTTTTACATCCCTTCATAGTATTTCTCTATCCCTTTTGGAGTTTCCAACTGCACTCAATTTAGCAGCCTCTGTAAATTTCATTAAGAAGTTTATCCCTTTTTTTGAGATCACTGATGATCATGTTAAATAAAAGTAGACCTAGAACTTTTTCCTTCTCTTATCCCACTAGACACTTGCCCAACTCAGTCAACATTGTTCATCTTTACCCTTTTCCCAGTTTTTAAGTCATTTTGCAGTTTGTGTGTCCGTTCATATATCCAGGCTAATAAGACAGAGGTGAGCACACTATCTATAAGGCTATGTTAATACTGCACTCTTCTTTCAGCAGTGTGTAGAGTATTTACTCAGGGTAGCCCCATTAGCATGGGTTTAAGGAGCAGTGTAGACAATGAGGCACAGCTGAGGTGGATAGAGTACAGACACACCTAAACGGTATAGCTGTGTTCCCAAGTACATACCCTATATGGCTTTCTACTCTCACCCAAGTTGTGCCATCCCAACTCTACACAGTAAAAATAGCAGTAGTGTCCCACTGCCTCTCAGCTGCTGGAGCCTTTCCCCACCACAGGGAAAGATTTCGTCAGCTCCCCACCACTAGAGCTTTCCCCCACTGCAGATAAGGAAGGACTCCAGCAGTGGGGAAAGTCTCCGCCAGCTCCCCACTGCCAGACTCTTCCTTCCTCTGCCTCCCTCCTGCCAGAGCCTTTCACTGACATGTGTAGCTACACACCACAGTGTGGCCACAGCTTGCTTTTTGTTTGACGTGTAGCTACTCATACCTAGTGCCCTGCGTGGATACAACATTTATATCCACAGATATAAAACAGGCACCGGGCTCACCAGCAGCTGTCCCTGGTCACACTAGTGTGTGCAAGTGTTTCACAAGTTCCCCATAGGAATCCCTTCTGTGCAGCGGCGTGCGCCTCCTGTCTGGGAGCTTGCGAGCCACTTTAACATGCTACTGTGACCAGGGACAGCTGCTGGTGATCCTGGTGCCCACCCAGTGGGCAGGGCTGGGGGCAGTATAGCCACACCGGAGGAGCTGCCTGGGCTGGACGCTGTCTCCTGCCAGCGGCGGCCCGACATGCTGCTGCTTTTGTCGCTGCGGTTCCTGGTAGAGCCCTGCAGCTCCGCAGATATCCACATCCGCAGATATAAATGTTGTATCCGCACAGGGTTCTACACATATCTTACACTGCACCGAAAAGTGGTGTGTAGTGGAGACATGGCCCTACTAAGTGGACTACCTCATTTTGCACTAGCTGAATTTTATTATCTCCAGAGAGAGAGAGAGAGCATTGCATTATTCCAAGAAGACAGTAATTGCCAGGATCAGTTTTCCATTTTTGAAAAACAGAACCACATATGTTTACTTCAGACTTCTGGTAGTTCCCCAGTTCTCCAGGAATTTTTTGAAAATAGTCAGTGGTTCCTTAGCCAGTTCTTTAACTCTAGGATGCAAATTAATTAGTATATATCATAGACTTAATAACCTATTAAAATTCAGTTTTAAAAGTCTGTTTTTAAATTATGGGCTCATAAAACACCTATAAAATATAAAATTCTATACGAGTTCTATACGTTTACCCCAATGTTGTGGGGAGGGGAAATGGAGAAGAAAAAATTTCTAAAACTGTCCTTTGATATATTCAGTATGTGACGGAATGAGGGAAATGTGGAGTTTGCAATGGCAACCATTGCTAATAGGCTCTGGTTTCTTATAATAGCTAAGCAGATCTTCAAATACGATGTGATAAAACAGAAAGCCATTCTTGTACCTGCTGTGCTTAGAAATTCTCTCTGGTGAGTGGACTTTAACATAATACATTTTAAGCCGGGAAGGACTCTGAAAACTCAGAGCTGAGATCTTGACATTAATAATATCTTTGTCTTCCACTAAAAGCACAAATTGCTAATCAAACCAAAAGCTGAACCTAAATTTTAATTGCTGCAAGTATTTAAAAAATGTACTAACTAGGTCTCTTCCCATGTGAGTTTTTCCCCTGCTTATGCTGTTCAAACTGAAAATGTGTTGCAAACTGTGATACTGAGTATCAGGATTCAGTTAACCTTATAGAGGAACTAATTTTCAACACATGCTTTTGGTAACCACAGATTTTTATGTAAAAAGATATTCTGTCAGCATCCTGTTGCTTTTACTCTATTTGTGTATGGAATCTTATATTAAAGACTATATTATTTTAAAATGGCAAGATACATTAAGCTCTTTGGAAGAATTAAAATTCCCCAAAATTCCTCATGATATAATAGGAATTAGATTATTAAACCTTCTTTTACTTAGAAGAGGTAAAATTAGAGTTGGGGGTGGGGGATGGAAATTAAGTATGTAGTGTGTGTATATATTGTGACAGACCCAGACCAGTGGGGTAGAGGAGTCTGGTAGAGGGCAAATATACTGGTCACTGGATGAGTAGTTTTCTGTTCCCTGAGTGACCAGAGCAGGGGCTGCACTAGAGTAATCAGAAACCTGCTAGAACCAGTTAAGGCAGGCAGGCTAATTAGGACACCTGGAGCCAATTAAGAAGAAGCTGCTAGAATCAATTAAGGCAGGCTAATCAGGGCACCTGGGTTTTAAAAGGAGCTCACTTCAGTTTGTGGTGCGAGTGTGAGCAGCTGGGAGCAAGAGGCGCAAGGAGCTGAGAGTGAGAGGGTGTGCTGCTGGAGGACTGAGAAGCACAAGCATTATCAGACACCAGGAGGAAGGTCCTGTGGTGAGAATAAGGAAGATGTTTGGAGGAGGCCATGGGGAAGTAGCCCAGGGAGTTGTAGCTGTCATACAGCTGTTAAAGGAGCCACTATAGACAGCTACAGTCCACAGGGCCCTGGGCTGAAACCCGGAGTACAGGGTGGGCCCGGGTTCCCCCCAGACCTCCCAATTGACCTGGACTGTGGGTTCTCCCAGAGGGGAAGGTCTCTGGGCTATTCCCCAACCCACATGGTGAATCTCTGAGGCAAGAAAATCCACCAATAAGCGCAGCACCCACCAAGATAGAGGAGGAACTTTGTCACAATATACATCGTGCTTTGTAAGCAGATCTTCATTTTAAGATAAGTTAATTCTGTTGACTTGAAGGAAATAAAGACTTAAGCTTGAGCTGTTCACTTGTTCTGCCAAGTAATGACAGGGTGAAATTTTTAAGACCTTCAGGCCTAAAAGTTTGTGGGCTGTTTTCCTTATAAATAATTCTCAGTGCCTCTACAACATTGAAGAGAACATAAAGATGAAATAAGACTATGGCCCCTGTAAAACAGAATAATATTTCAATACCCTTTACAGGAAGCAGATTTTTGTTAAGATCATTGTAAAAGGTAGTAAGTAGACTTTGCCTTAATAATACTGTAATAATACTTAATAGAACTGTGAAGGAGGATAAATTGATAATCATAAAAGGTATAAGCCAATTAAGTTATGCATTTCTTAGGAACTTGAAAATTGTTTCTCTCATATTATATTAGGGTTGTCAATTAATCGCAGTTAACTCACATGATAACTCAAAAAAATTAATCACAATTAATCGCACGGTTAAACAATAGAATACCAATTGAAATGTGTTAACTATTTTTGGATTTTTTCTACATTTTCACATATTTATTTAAATTACAACATAGACTACAAAGTGTACATTGCTCACTTTATATTATATTTTATTACAAATATTTGCACTGTAAAAATGATAAAAGAAACAGTATTTTTAGTTCACCTCATACAAGTAGTGTAGTGCGATCTCTTTATCATGAAAGTGCAATTCACAAATGTAGATTTTTTTTTTGTTACATAACTGCACTCAAAAACAAAACAATGTAAAACTTTGGAGCCTACAAATCCACTCAGTCCTACTTTTCGTTCAGCCAATCACTAAGACAAACACGTTTGTTTACACTTATGGGAGAAAATGCTGCGGCTTCTTATTTACAATGTCACCAGAAAGTGAGAAGAAACATTTGCATGGGACTTTTGTAGCTGGCATTACAAGGTCTTTACATGCCAGATATGCTAAACATTCATAAGCCCCTTCATGCTTCAGCCACCGTTCCAGAGGACATGCTTCCATGCTGATGATGCTCATTAAAAAAAGAAAAGCGTTAATTACATTTCTGACTGAACTCCGTAGGGGAAAATTGTATGTTTCTGGCTCTATTTTACCCGCATTCTGCGATGTATTTCATGTTCTAGCAGTCTCGGATGATGATTCAGCGCATGTTGTTCATTTTAAGAACACTTTCACAGCAAATTTGACAAAACGCAAAGAAGGTACCAAAGTGAGATTTCTAAAGATAGCTACAGGACTCGACCCACTTTAGGTTTAAGAATCTAAAGTGCCTTCCAAAATGTGAGAGGGATGAGATATGGAGCATGCTTTCCAAAGTCTTAAAAGAGCAACACTCTGATGCGGAAACTACAGAACCCAAAACAACAACAACAAAAAATCAACCTTCTGCTGGTGGCATTTGACTCAGATAATAAAAATGTACATGCATCGGTCCACAGTGCTTTGGATTGTTATCGAGCAGAACCCGTCATCAGCATGTACACATGTCCTCTGGAATGGTGGTTGAAACATAAATGGATATATGAATCTTTAGCGTGTCTGGCATGTAAATATCTTTCGATGCCAGCTACAACAGTGCCATGCAAACACCTGTTCTTACTTTCATGTGACCTTGCATTATCTCCTGCAAATATAAATAAACTTATTTGAGCAATTGGCTGAACAAGAAATAGGACTGAGTGGACTTATAGGCTCTTAAGTTTTACATTGTTTTATTTTTGAATGCAGGATTTTTGGTACATAATTCTACATGTGAAAGTTCAACTTTCATGATAAAGAGATTGCACTACAGTACTTGTATTAGGTGAATTGAAAAATGCTATTTCTTTTGTTTTTTACAGTGCAAATATTAGTAATAAAAATACATATAACATGAGCACTGTCCACTTTGTATTCTGTGGTATAATTGAAATCAATATATTTGAAAATGTAGAAAACATCCACAAATATTTAAATAAATGGTATTCTATTATTGTTGAACAGTGCAATTAATCGTGATTAATTTTTTTAATTGCTTGACAGCCCTAATATTTATTTATTTTTAGTTGTGAGACATATAGATATATATGTTGCAAAATGAAGCTCTTGTATATCAAGACATGCCAAAACTACAGTCTCACACACAGTCATAACATTTTGTGGGTAGGTGGGGAGTTAAAAATTTAATTAATTAATCACATACAATTTTTCCCCGCGTAGACGCTATACCTTGGTCCATATTTTCCTTTGCCTCATTGTCTGCATGTCATCTATATAGGCCCACTGTGTTTTCATTTACACCATTATACAGTCATATTTATTCCAGATATGCCAGATAGAATTTGTTCCAAAAAAACACACAGATCTGCAAGACCCTGTTTAATTCACTGTTGAGGCCTCTATCCAACGAAGTATTTAAGCATATAAACGAGGGCTCTTTCATTGCAATGTGCTTGTATATTTTTAGTCGTACGTGTTAATGATATACAATGCCCCGGAAAGAGATAAAAAAGAGATTGTGAAGTTACATAGAGATTCTAAAAGTGCTTTGAGGATGCTGAGTGCACCTGGTGTGTGCACTAGTAAGACTATAAGACATGGTTACCAGAGGTTATGACCCCATACTCATCAGTATAGGTCTGAATTAGGGTTGATTTGTTGTCATGGACGCAATAAAAGAAGTCCATCCTTTCTTGCACACGCAGCGTTTCAGAATTTTTTTCACTCTATCTCCCTGAAATAACTTTGCTTGCTCTTGCATGTTGGTTGTTCAGCACTATTCTCTAGGCTTTTTACACATCTCCCTTTCACAGCATACTGGACACCTCTTCTATTGTTAGCAAAAACTTCATTAATAAATTCCATATTTGAGTGTGTTACATTTGAAAAGCATGTTTTATGCTATTTGCATATGTCTAATGTGAATGGAATGTTGTTAATATCCTGCTATTAAGCTGTTTTTTAAAAGCCACTTCAGAATTTCACAGCTAAAATGAGTAGACTTTGCCCCACCCTTCACACACACCCCCAAAGTCCATGGAAAATAGCAGTTTTAGTCTAGTAAGTTAACGTGTGCATGAATATGCATTACTATTAATTCTGGGAAGTGCTAGTCTTCAGCAGTTACTTCTCTTCTGCTTTTTTATTGCCGTCTTCTTCCTTCCTCTATTTCTAACCCAACATTCTGCAATATTTATCATAAGACAAAGTAGATCTTGCCTGGGAACAGTCAATGACTCTCACACATTTCCTTGATTTTTCAGACATTCATGTACAGAAGATGATGGTCTAGCAATAATAGTAGGGTTTCTGTTCTTGTGGCTTTGGAATTTAAAAATCACCCTCACTTTAACTTTGTAGGCAGTGAAAAAGAGATGTCTTTCCCATTGCATAGTTGCTTTACATAAGTTTCTTTTAAAAGAAGATGCATTTACATGTGGATCTATTTAGTGTCTATCGTGTTTTTTGCCTAAGCAAATTCTTCAAAATGTTACCTCTTTCATATCTGTTTTGTAGCAACTTTATAGAAAAAAGCCAGGGCTGGCTGTTACGTGTGCAAAAATACCTCAAAATATGGACAAAAATCGATACAAAGATGTTCTACCTTGTGAGTATTAAGTACAAAATTTGACTGTTTTCTTTTAACACCTAAATAATGCTTTACATGTTATAAAACCACCACATTGAATTTTGCCATTACTGAATTTATTATATAATCAAAGTTTTGTAATTGTGCATCCATGTTACATTCTAAAACACTTCTATGCTTTGTTCATGTGCCTGTAATCCAAATGCCTGTGATCACTTGGTTATTTGACCTAATGAAAGGAGGTGATGATAAAGCATGCCATCCAGTTGTTAATTAATTTTTTTTTAACATAGATGATGCCACACGGATAATATTGCAGGGAAACGAAGATTACATTAATGCGAATTATGTGAATGTAAGTTATACAGGCATCCATATTAATTATAGAAAGAAATGAATAATATAGCGGCCAAGTTATTTATTTATTTAATTCCAAAAAGCCTAACGTTTTGTTCACTGTAGCTTTAGGAGCTCATAAGTAGCTTAAAGTGCTTTGTTAGGAATGCAAATATTTATACTGGTGGACAGGAGGCTTAAGCACATGGAAACCATTAGCAGATGTGCAGGGTTGTTTTTAATAAGTAAAAGCGGTTAGACAGTTTCATATATATTGCATCAATTTTAAGGCCAGTAATTTTGTGGATTTAATAATTAGTATTTGTCTAATAATGTATATCTAGGATTACAAGCACCTGCTGCCAGAGTGTTGCACTGGGGTAAGAAAAGGCTCTAGTAGGAGGAGGCACCGGGGAGGCAACATAACACTACAATGCTAAAAACAGCAGTGTAGACCTGGGAGGCACTGCTTGGGCATATAAAGAGCAGTGTAGGCTATATTCCCTGTGGGGTTCAGGTGTGTAGGACACTTGACTATACTCTACTCTCTTACACGGTGCCTCACCATCTACACTGCTATTTATAACTGTGCTCGCTGGGTGTGCAGTGGCTGTACTCTATGTTTCGCGGTAAGTGTAGACTCACTTTAAAAAGAATGAATGTTTCCCTCGTTGCACTTGTCTATATTTTTTCAGCATATTCTCAAGAGGGCTTGGGGCTCTGCCACTTAGAAATATGCAAGGGATGGTGTGCCAGCCAGACCAGTAGCTGGTCCCCAAACCTAGCATTCTCTTAAACATAAGATTTCAATAATGCCGTACTTCTTTGCATTCAAGAGGAAAAGGCTCTTTGTGCCTCCTTCCCACATTATTAAATTTACTCACTCAGTAAAGGGAAGGATATTTCTTACAACCTTGTAAATAAACCTCCCTTAATGTGTTACTCAGTGTGAGGGCATTTCAAAGCTTTCTTGCCAAGAGCTACAGTCTGACCCGAGTATGCTTTAGTATTCAACAACTTAAGGGTGGTTCAGAAGCTTCCCAAGACATTGATAAATGATAACTTTGTTTCAAACGCTCCAAGCCCTATGTATTGATACTTTCACTTTTTTGCCATCAATACAACACACACTATTTTCTAAATGATATCTTCATTTTAGGGTATGTCTACACTGCAGTCGGAGATTTGATTTGCATCTTGTGTAAACATACATGCACTCGCTTTAATCTAAACGGCGCGATAAAAATAGCAGTGAAGCTGTGACAACATGGGCTTCAGTATCGGTTAGAAATGCAAGTTTGTGCCCAGGGTCTCCAGGCAGGCTTGCACAGCCTGTGCTGAAGACCGTACTGCCATGAACAACCACACAATCTAGGGCAGGTGATCCCCCTTTGAGTCAACATTACACATCAATTTACTGTAACTATAAGCAGTCTGCAATGCATGCTCACATTCTTTACCTCTGATTAGGAGCAAGACCATCAAAGTACTGAAAGACAACATCACTTGCATGTTTTATATAAATGGTCAAGGAGGAGCAAGGTCACACTCCCTTTGCACTGAAGCACTGAGATTATGAAACTGGTGCATCCATCATAACATCAACATATCAGCTACCTGTCTACCAGGATGTCAGAGTACCACAGCAGATGCACTAAGCAGAAAATTCTCTCAGGACCACAAGTGGGAAATATATCAGACACTGGGGTTTCCCAAGTATAGACCTTTTTGCTACAGCCCAGAATGCCAAGTGTCCACAATTCTGCTCACGAGCAGGATTGGGCTCCAAATCTCTAGGAGTTACTTTCCTCATCAAATGGGGTGTGCTTCTGCTTACGCGTTGCCCCCGCTTCCCTTCATATCCAGGGTAATACATAAGATAAAGGCCAAACAATCCGGAGTCATCTTGATAACTCCCACATGGCCCAGACAAACTTGGTTCCCTTACCTGTTGCGGATGGTGGTATGCCCACCACTCGCTCTTCCTCCTCTTCCATATCTCTGGTCTCAGGATGCAGGCCAGGTTCACCACCTGAACCTAGAGATCCTCCACCTGAAGGCATGGTTCCTCCATGGTTCCAGGACAATGAAATAACCTATTCGGAAGATGTAAGGGACATACTATTAAATAGCAGAAGGTCGACTACACGTTATACTTACCTGCACAAATGGAAGAGATTCCACATAAGGTACCAGAATCGGCAAGCCATGGCTATTACTTCCCCTTGCCACTGGTACTAGATTATATAGTGGAGCTAAAGAAATCAGGACTATCATCGAGCTCACTTAGAGTACACCTGGCAGCCATCACAGGTTTCCATCACAAAGTTCATGGGTTCTCAGTTTTCACCCATCTTATCACTAAATGGTTCCTCAGGGAACCATTTGAAACCTTTATCCTGAAATACGAGTTCCCACCCCACCCTGGGACCTTAACCTTGTACTACACTGCCTCATTGGTCCCCCATTCGAACCCAGGAGAACATGTTCATTCATGCACCTATCGATGAAGGTGGTCTTCTTCGTCGCCATCACATCCGCACAATGAGTGGGAGAACTAGGGGCTGTCAGGGCTGGCTCCAGGCACCAGTGCAGCAAGCAGGCGCCTGGGGTGACCAACAGAAAGGGACGGCACATCCGGTTCTTCAGCGGCAATTCGGCGGCGGGTCCCTCAGTCCCTCTCGGGGGGGAAGGATCTGCCACTGAATTGCCGCCGAAAAACGAAGCGGCGGCGGTAGAGCTGCCGCCGAAGTGCCGCCGATTTTTTTTTTCTTTCCCCACTTGTGGCGGCAAAAACGCTGGAGCCGGCCCTGGGGGCTGTCATGGCATACCCCCCCCATATACAATTTTATTCAAAGACCAGGTCACTTTAAGACCACCCTCTAAATTTGTACCCAAAATACCTTCCTCATTCCATCTGAACCAACCTATCCACCTCCCGTCTTTCTTCCCTAAACCTCATGAGAACAAACGAGAGGCAGTGTTCCACACTCTAGATGTCAGACGGGCATTAGCATTCTATCCTGAAAGGACTAAACTTTCAGGAAGTCACCCAAGCTATTTCTTTCTGTTACGGAAAGGTCGAAAGGATCAGCCATATCTAAGCAGAGGATTTCCAGGCATGTTCACCTTTGCTACTGCCAACATGATCTGCAACCCCCACCGGGAATTTGAACATGCTCCAGCAGATCGCTCTTCACTTCAGTAGCCTTCCTGAACAATGTGTCCATCCGGACATCTGTAAAGTAGCCACCTGGTCATCAGCCCATACCTTCACAGAGCACTATGCAATTGAGCAAGGCTCGACCTCAGATGCTTTGTTATAGGATTAGCTATTTTATCATTGCATACAGATCCAGCTCCAAAGACCCATCCTTTCAGCTAGGGATACTGCTCTATAGTCACCTAAAGTGGAGCACCCACAGGGACAGCTCAAAGAAGAGAGGATTACTCGCCTTGTGCAGTAACTGAGGTTCTTTGTGATGTGTGCCTTCAGCTTCTGAGGCACATGGCCGTGGGCACATCTGTGATAGCTCTTGCCAAACTTTGCATGAAATGCCTCCAATCATGCTTCAGTTCAATTTACAGACCGAACAAAGACAAACTCCTATGTATGCCCACCAAAAGCAAACAGTCCTGGCAAACCCTGCATGGGAATCCTGTTTGTGCATCCTTCTCCAATTACTACTTCTCACCACTGATGCATCCCTCATAGGATGGGGCGCACATCTCAACGATCTCACAGTGCAGGGCAGATGGTCTCCATCTGAGATGTGCCTTCACATCAATGTACTCAAGCTCAGAGTGGTCAGGAACGCATGTGCTCATTTCCTTTTGCTGATCAGAGGTATGCACACAAAGGTCATGACGGACAACATAGCATGCATGTATTACTTAAACCATCAAGACGGCATTACTTACAGAGACAGTGCAATCCAGCCCTCAAATATCTGCCAGACATTGTCTTCAGCTTGCCCTCCCTTTGAATGAAAGCACTAAAGCTATGGAACTGGTGCATTTCCCACAATGTTACAATATCAGCGGCTTACCTGCCAGTACACAACATGACAGTGGACAGTCTCCCCTGCAAATTCCCACATGACCGAGAGAGAGAGAGAGATGCAGTGGTATTCCATGACACGTTCTGACAATAGGATCTCAATCTAGTATTAAAAGAAGTGACTAGATTTCCCTTTGAACCCCTGGCCACTTGTTCTTTAATTCATCTTTCCATGAAGAAGGTGTTCCTGATCACCATTATCTCGGCAAGAAGGCTAGAGGAGATAACAGCTGTGATGGCATATCCACCCTTCACAGTGGTTTTCTTCGACAAAGTCACGCTGAGACCACATCCAAAGTTCACCCCAAAGTGACTTCTACATTTCACGTGAACCAACTCATTCACCTTCCTACCTTTTATCCCAAACATCACCAGGATAATAGGGAAGCCATCCTCCATACACTCAACGTAAGGAGCCTTGTATTTGGAGAGGACAAGAATTTTTAGAAAATCCTGAGACTCTTCCTCTGCATCGCAGACAGGTCTAGAGGCACACGATTTCAGCTCAGAGGCTCTCTAAATGGGCCTCAAACTCTATCAAGCTCTGTTATCAGATTCGCAATTTAGCACTTCCATCTGTAATCCGCACACATTCTACGAGATTGGTTTCCTCGTCCATCACCTTCTCCAAGGGTATCCCTATATCAGAAATCTTCAGAGCTGCTACCTGGGCATCTGCACATACATTTGCCTAACACTATGCCATCGTGGGGGACTCTGCTGTAGACGCCACATTCAGTGCCACAATACTGTCATCCATCACAGACCCGACTCTGAAGCCCCAGCCTCCAGTAGGGCATACTTCTCAGGAGTCACCTACAGTGGAGCACTCATAGGGACACTATTCAAAGAAGAAGTAATTACCTTGTGCAGTAACAATGGTTCTTCAAGATGTGTCCCCCTTGGGTGCTCCATGAACCACCCTCCTCCCCTCTACTTCAGAGTTCTCATCATACGCTCTGTGGTAGAGAAGTAACTGAGGAGGGTTTGCCCGTTCAACGCTGGATAGTCTTATGGCAGACCACAAGGTGGGGGTGGGCCAAATGGACACTGCTACCAAAATTCTCCAATCAGCAGCACAGGGACACAGATACACCTGCAGTTGAGTCCACAAACCAAACTCCACCTACTTGAGACGCCAAAAAGTGATTCTACTCTGTTAGCAGATATGCATAATGTCCATCTCCTTTCTCATTTGCTCTGATTAGCAATGAAATAATCAAGTTGGCACTTAAATCGTCATAATTAGATTTCAGAGTTAATCGCATATTGAAATGAACAGAGTCAGTTTATATTTCTCTGAGAGTAATTATTTAAGGCTACTCCAGATTTGGGCCACCTCACTGCATCAGTTCACCTTTTGAAGGTTTTCTTTTCAACCATGAGAGAGAGAGACATTTTTAATAAATGATCATATATATTCTGGATCACAAGAAGACATTCTCCAGATAAATTTACCAGTTTATCAAACCACCACATATCAGCACAGTTTGACCCCTGCAACTGGGTTTTAGGTCATGAATGGGAAAAGTGTTGAGAACTGCTGCTGTAGTTTACATTTCTAGCAGTTGAGAAGCTAAATATAGAGGGTAAATGTTGGGAAGCGGAAGAAAACGTGAGATTTTTTTGTAAGTATATTTTTTCTTTTAAAATGTGGGAGGAATAGTATAGAATTATAGGTTGTAAAATTGTACAACAGGATAAGTAAAACTTTTTCAGGAGAATTCAAAATATCTGCCTGTTGAGAGTAAATTTAGCAAGTCAGTACATAACCTTTCATTTTAGATTAAGTTGTAATGATTTGTATGCTACACTTATTAGTTTGTAAAGGGCTTCAAGGATCTGAGTGAGTTTATAACTAGGTTTCATTGTTGTGTAGAAAAATAATTTAATAGAAATTGCTGTGTTTCAGCATGTGATTTTGGTCCATTTTAAATTAGTAATCAAATATTGTGATATTCTGTAAAATATTTAAAGTGAACTTGTTAATCTTGTTACTCAAATTGTTTCTTTAAAATTCCTTCAGCAGATCATCTTTGTGAAAGTTATTTTAAACAAGAAAACAATATTACATTGGGCATTTGAGTAATGAGATTAAGGTGTTTTTTCTCCTGACAGATGGAAATTCCGTCAACTGGCATTGTGAACAGATATATCGCCACTCAAGGTCCTCTTCCACATACCTGCGCACATTTCTGGCAGGTAGTCTGGGATCATAGGTTATCGCTGATCATCATGTTGACAACCCTCACCGAACGAGGACGGGTAAGCCTGTATATCCACTCTTGAAGCTTGCAGTTCACATCAGTCCCAAAGTAATTAAACATTTATGTCTAAATTGTGTTTTGGTCTTGGCTATTGAAACTGGTTTATATTGAAATCCTTTCTGCTAAAGAAGCTTGTGTATCTTCCTTCCTTTTTGAACTTTGTTTCTTATCCCCTCTCCTGAATAAATAACTCTGCAACAGTTAGGCCTGCTGCTTGTTTCCTGCCACTCTGTGTGTGAAAATGTATAAAATATTAGAATGACAGATTCTGATACCTGCTTTTCTGAAAACATCATGTGAGAGGAGTTAGAGAATGCCCTCTAAAGCATATAGCCAAAATTTAGTCCAGTTAAATTACTTATGTTGTTGAGAATCTGTGAAAAAATATTTTGACTCCTTTCTTAAAACTGCTTTGAAGAATCTGTTAGAGAATCGATTTACTAAATTATGGTTTTGAAATCAGTTCATAGACTCTTCAAGTCATAGGAAATCCAAAAGTGCAAATATTTCTATATCCAGTGTACAATATATTTGCTCTCTAATTTATCATATGCATGAGGTGAAAAATCCCTTTACCTCTAAAACAGTGGTCCCCAAACTTTTTCAGAGAGCGAGGCCACAGTCAGGAGCAGGGCCCCGAAGCTGTGGCTGGGAGTGAAGCTGGGACTGGGGGTGGGGCCAGAGCCGAGTGGAGCTGGGATCGGAGTGTGGGCTGGGTGGCACTCCCTCGACACCCCCTGGAGGGGTTGGCCCAGGATCTGCCATGCACCCCTGAATGGTCTCACGCCCCACAGTTTGGGGACCACTGTTCTAAAAAATGACCAGCTAGTGCAGCGGTGGGCAAACTTTTTGGCCCGAGGGCCACATCTGAGTATGGAAATTGTATGGTGGGCCATGAATGCTCACAAAATTGGGGGTTGGGGGTGCAGGGCGGGGTGAGGGCTCTGGCTGGGGCTAGGGATGAGGGGTTGGGGGTACAGGAGTGTGCTCCGGGCTGGGACTGAGGTGTTCGGAGGGAGGGAGGGGGATCAGGGCTGGGGCAGGGAGTTGGAGTGCAGGAGGGGGTCAGGGGTGCAGGCTCCAGGCGGCGCTTACCTCAAGCAGTTCCCAGAAGCAGCGGCATGTCCCCCCTCGGCTTCTACAGGGAGGTGCGGCCAGGTGGCTCTGTGCGCTGTCCGGTCTGCAGACGCCACCCCTGCAGCTCCCATGGGCCACGGGAGCTCGAGGGCCAGATTAAAACGTCTGGAGAGCCGGATGCAGCCCCCGGGCCATAGTTTGCCCACCCCTGAGCTAGTGAATGGATGACATATAAACTTGCTGTGTTTAAGGATTCGGAGGCAGATCAAATGGGGAGCACTGCTCTGAGTAGTAAAGGTTCTTCTTTGAGTGCGTGTTCTGTCCATTCCATGCTAGGTGTGTGCACGCCACGTGCACACTTGCCGGAGATTTTTCCCTTAGTGTGGTATCTGTAGGACCGGCTCTAGCGTCCTCTGGAGCCATGCATCTATGCGCCGGCATAAGGAGCCCTGCCAGCCTTGCACCTCTCAGTTCCTATTTACTACCCATGACAATTGCCTGGAACTATCCTTCTTGCTCTTGCAAGGCTTCTTTCCCAATGGTTTGAACTTTTCTGTCATATATTGCAGAGTTATTGTAGTTAGTGTATATAGTTCTTCGTGTCCATTCCATAACCCATCCTCCTACCCCTCTGTCAGAGTTACTGGCAAGAAGGAAGTGAGAGAGTGCGGGCACATACGCGCACAGCTCAAGAGGGCACTAGAGCCAGTCCTACGGATACCACTAACGGTAAAATCTCTGGCAACTGTGTATGTGGCACACTCACATCTAGCATGGAATGGACATTAGCAACACATGTCAAAGAACAGTAGTTATGAAAGGTTAGTAACTGTTTTTTTTCTGGCATCTGGGAGGTGGGACAGATCGTGACTTTTGCTTGCCTTCCTACTGATAGAAATCCTCCTCAACCGTTAGCTGTGTTCCCAAAGTAAACTCTCAATGCACTGTCAATTCCTGAAACTGACATTCTGGTTGGGAATCTGGTTTGGGAGCTGGTTTATTTGGGAGTGAATATTTGGAGGTTCAATTTAAGACACTGATTGGGAAGTAAGTGAGAGCAGCTGAAGGAAGGCAGGGAAGTTCAAGCAGACTTATAAATCCTGAAGACAGAGTTAAGAGTTTGTTCTTCAATTCCTTAGTGAGGACAAGTCCTTAAAGCCGTAAGGGTTAAGGCATGATCCTTAGGTACAGTCAAGTATACACAGCCATTTACAGAAGCATAATTAAAAACCTTAACTCTGGCAACAGTTGTTTCGCCATCTCAAACAGCAATTTTGGATTTGTGACACTTTTTAGCAAGGACAAAGTTTTATTACAACTAGTATAAATACAGTAACAAAGGTATTGAATATGTCAGTGATGGCCACCCATTCACTGAACTAAGAATGGGTCCCGTAGAAAAAAAATTGTATGTAACCATACCATAATACTAGGTGACTGTATCATAATGCATACACACACGGGGTTGGGGGCTGGGGCAAATTAAGGTTGTCTGGGCAACCTTAAATTGGCATTTCCCAACTTCTGAGTGCTTGATTTCACAACCATCATCTTTCAGATATAATTTCCAAGTTTCTTAAAAAACAAACAAAAGAGAAATAACATGTTAAACCATTTAGACCTCTAGCTTAGGTCACCAGTAGCTTCTGCACCTTTAAATCCAAAGCACGGATCTCCATTGCCTGAGCTAACAGAATAACTGGTAAGATTGCTCTCCTTTTTGTGGACCAAACACTTGAAGGGGATGAGAGACACATTTAGCCAATGGGTACAGGTATGTAGTGGCAGCTGAGAAATGTAGACACTCGGGACACCTGTGTTCAGTTGCAGGTTCTGGAAGAGTGTGCTCCCTAGTTCCCCCTTCCTTTGCTGCCCCCTTCTTCCCATGTCTCCCCCTTTTTCCACACACCTCTGCATTCTGATTAGGTGGCTTCCTCCTTGTCCAGGCTGCCTACAGCAGGAAGAGTGCAGGACAATCTCCCTGCTCTTAGTTATGATGCCTGGCACCCAGCTGTCCAGAGGAGCCGTTGTAAAGAAAGTACTGCAAGCCCTGGGCTGTAGAATGCCCAGTGCAGATGGAATCTTCACAGAATTCAGCTGCCAAACTCTAACCAGTCTCCGCTGAGCATGTGTGAACTGCAACTTTTTGGGGGCCTGTAAGTTAGCCAAATTTGGGCAATTTTTTTGGTTACAAAAAGCACATCTGACACCAAGACCACCCCATGCTAAATTACAAGCCCTCCCTCGAAGCACAGAGGCACTAACCTCAATGAAATATCTGTACGTTTTTTTTTAACATGGGCAAAATGTATTTCCTGTCATTTCATTTTCAGAAATGACTGAATTATTTCAGTTGAAATTAAAAAATAAAAGCCTGAGGCAAGCAGTCAATGTGAAATATTTTAATTCTAATAGTTAAAGTTTGGCAAAGTTATAAGCAACTGAAAGCAGAGTCTTATATTGGAAAGGGTGAGGGAACTTAACTATAAGTGGCACTAAAAACTTCACCTGTAATATTTTAACATATAAAATATAGTTAGAATATATATAATTTATAATGTATCTATGTGCGTGGATAGAGAGCACCAAATTGACACATACTGAAATGTAACACTGTTGTTGTAAATCCTACTTCATTGTTTTAATGGATCAAATAGAAATAAGTTATTGGGTTGTCTGCCCTCCAGTTGCTTGCATGTTCTCATCACTACAACTCAGTCAGGCTTCTCCAGACAGTCAGAAATTGCATTCGTAAATACAATTTCCAGCTTTTTAGACTAAGATGATTTCAGGCCACACACAACTGTCTTGCATGTCCCCAGGTATTTTGGTAGTGCTTCTTTGATGGGCACAATGGAGGAGGACCTTGCAAAGCATTTAGATTTATTCTGTTTCTGTCTGTTAAAATGATGGCAGTTAATTACAGATATCTACAAGGTGAAAATATGTTTAAACAGATTAGATATTTCTTTACTGAAGCCTGAGATATTCAAGGAATGTCTCACCAGCATAGTTTTTCAGTACAGTGTTTTCCATGGCACTTAATCCCTTCGATTAGATGGGTGGTGACACTACACTCCTTCTGTCATTCATGCTGCTCCAGCCATTAAACACCATTGCCCTTCAGACAGAGATAGAACCCAGGAGTCCTGATTCCAACTTTCTATTTCTTTCTACCAAATAGTTGTGTAACTTGCTGCCTAAATGTGCATCCCATCCCTCCCTAGAGGCTGGACTGCAAAAAAAAGAAGATAATCCTGTAGCTTCAAGGGTAAAGATCTGTGTGGGAATATGAAGGTCCAGAATTCAGACCCTTCTGACAACCTGTGTGTGAGGGTGCATAGGAGGGGATCCTTATGACTGCATTTGATGGAATGTGTTGATTTTTTTTAAACTAGCTTATTTAATTTACACAATGAGAAAAAAGCCTTTTCTCATGGTGTTATCGTTAAAAACCTTTATAAATGTCACTTATGGCATGACATACAACAAACCACAGGTGTTCCACATTTCTATAGTTTGTCACTCATTATGATTGCTTGTATCACACACTGGCAAGCCTGACTGTTGAACCCCTCTGGGCCACAGACGGCAACTTTCACTTTCCTGTATCAACAGGAGTGATTTTGGCCCTTGGTTCCTAAATTCAGCCTGTAAATTGACGCATAATTAATCATTTACAGGGAGGACTTTTTTCCAGTTCAGTCTTACATGTTTCACTTCAAAAAGAAATATTCATATGTTCAACAACTGACACACTCTCATTTCCATGAACCAAAGTTGCTCATCAGTTTTCCCAGTTTCTTAACTCAGTTTTCCCCGTCAGGCATGAAGGATGATTCTTTTCAGATACCCCAATCATTATATCTGAATATGCCTCTGCTAGTTTTCTTACACAATTCTCATGATCAACATTTATAA